TGAGATATTTTTTCCTCATTTTTCTCGAATCTTCTTCCTCTTCCCTAGATTCCAGCAACAACAGAAGATTCTCTTCGAGGGTAGATTCGAATTTACTGAAAGCTTCGATTTTTCTTTTTGGGCCTTTGATTTGATCGGCGATGGATCGAGCTCCGGTGACTACAGGACCGATGGATATGCCGATTATGCACGATAGTGATCGATACGACTTCGTTAAAGATATTGGGTCTGGTAATTTTGGTGTGGCTCGTCTTATGAGAGATAAAGTTACAAAGGAGCTTGTTGCTGTTAAGTACATCGAGAGAGGAGACAAGGTTTTTAATTCTTTTTAAAAATCTCATTTTTTTTTTCCTTCTAAATTTGGAAGTTGATGATTTATTTTAGTTCAGTGATCGTTATAGTGATGCTTTTAGTTTCCACTTTCCAGATTTAGTGATTCTACTATAGATTCGTCTCTTATGTTTATTTTGGTTTGATGATGCTGATTATGCTTCTTGAGTTCTTTAAATGTGTGTTTGGAGCTTCTTTAAAGTTGTGAATTCGATTTTATAAAATATGAACTTTCTAATTTTCCAAACTTTAAATGATGATTTTATTTTTCTCAGCTTCTACACAACTAAGAAGAAAAAGATGATTTAGGTGCAATGGAGGAATCAGCTTGAAAGATTATATATTATTTATAGGATTTTTTTTTTAAATTGGTTTTATGAGTTTTCAGTGTTCTGATTATTTGAGTTCTAACTATGGTGATGTATCACGAGTTTGCAGATTGATGAAAATGTTCAAAGGGAAATCATTAACCACAGGTCATTAAAGCATCCTAATATTGTTAGATTTAAAGAGGTAAATTAAACACTTTTTTCAGTTATATCTATAAGCAAGTGTGGTTTTAGATCCTGAACAAGCGGTTTTATTGTATTGTGTGTGGATAGGTCATTTTAACACCGACTCATCTGGCTATCATAATGGAATATGCTTCTGGTGGAGAGCTTTACGAGCGGATTTGCAATAAAGGACGGTTTAGCGAGGATGAGGTTTGCAACTTCTGTTTAAGCTTGATTCTCTTATCATTGATGTTCAAGGTTTCCTCTGTTTTTATGATCGATCTTTTGGTTTCCTTCTTGTACAGGCTCGGTTCTTCTTTCAACAGCTTATATCTGGAGTCAGCTATTGTCATGCAATGGTATGGAGAGAAAAGTGTTTAATGGAGCCTAGGGACTTATATTCTTGTTATTTTGCAATAATTGAGGTGTTCGGTTTCCTCCTATGTGAAGCAAATCTGCCACCGCGATCTGAAGCTGGAGAATACGTTGTTGGATGGGAGTCCCGCTCCTCGTTTAAAAATATGTGATTTTGGATATTCAAAGGTATGTCGCCTTTCTATTGTCGTGCTATGTGGCTCGTTCTGTGCTGAATAATACTTTGCTTATCTCCATCTACTTCTTCAATTGTATGTTTTGAAGTAATTGTGTTTGCTTTTGACAGTCTTCTGTTCTTCATTCACAACCAAAGTCAACTGTCGGTACACCTGCGTATATTGCTCCAGAGGTTCTGCTTCGTCAGGAATACGATGGCAAGGTGAGAAGAGCTTGTAAAGAAATTCCTCTGTTTTTCCGTGGATGAATAACCGATTATTGATTGTTACTACGATACCAGATTGCAGATGTATGGTCGTGCGGAGTAACATTATACGTTATGTTGGTTGGAGCTTATCCATTCGAAGATCCGGAAGAGCCGAGAGACTATCGAAAAACAATACAGGTAACCCGCGTAGAAACATTTCTTCCTTACCTCTTCCTCGACCACCATTATCCTCTTATCCTCTTTATGAATCTAAAAACCAGAGAATCCTTAGCGTTAAATACTCAATCCCCGAAGACGTACGGATTTCACCTGAATGCTGTCATCTAATTTCAAGAATCTTTGTGGCTGATCCCGCGACTGTAAGTCATTTCCCTTTCTCGTCTTTGAATCTTTAAACCACCCGCGAAATGACATTTTCGACGTCGTTGTTGTTGTTGTACAGAGGATTAGCATTCCAGAGATCAAAACCCATGATTGGTTCTTGAAGAATCTACCAGCTGATCTAATGGTTGAGAGCAACAGCACAGAGAGCCAATTTCAAGAACCTGAACAACCAATGCAAAGCCTTGACACAATCATGCAAATCATCTCTGAAGCCACAATTCCCGCTGTTCGAAACCGTTGCCTCGACGATTTCATGACGGATAATCTTGATCTTGACGATGATATGGACGACTTTGATTCTGAGTCTGAAATCGACATTGACAGTAGCGGAGAGATAGTTTATGCTCTGTGATAAAAAAAAAGAAAGTTTTTTATGACCAAAAACACCATCTCTTGTCTATTTCGAGACCAGTGTTTGTCTGATCCTCTAGTTTTCTATATCTGCCATTTTTGTACTGGGCTCATTGTCTGTTTGTTTGTTGCTTCTTT